CAATATAAAATAATGTCCGGCCTGATTCATAGCACGAAAAATTAAAAAATAGAAAGTTATATATATATATATATATATATATATATATATATATATATATATATCACTAAATATGTTGACCAAAATTGTCATTTTACTAATACTCATGGGATTAAAATTGGTGTTTGCTCTTATCCTAATTCTTTTGGGATTAGAATTAGTTTAGCTGAGAAAATGTATAAAAATAATCACGCTCCGGCGAAAACTGAAAACCCGAAATCCATATAACAATTTCTAGGGCTTTTCCAAATCTGATCCAATCTTCCTCCTTTTCATCTTCTCAAGAGAGTTTCTATACGAAATCAATCCACCTTCATTCCAATATTTTCCTCCACCGAAAACATGCCTCAGAGACACTCGAAGAACAATAACGATCTCGCCTTTTTCACCTACGACGAGAAGCGAAAGCTCGGATACGGAACGCAGAAGGAGCGGCTCGGCAAGGACTCCATCAAGCCCTTCGACGTTTGCTGTCTCTGTTTGAAGCCCTTCATCGACCCTTTGTGCTGCCAAAAAGGTCACGTCTTCTGCAAAGAGTGCATACTCGAATGCATCTTGGCCCAGAAGAAAGACATTCAAAGGTACCTACTTTATGCTCCTCAATTAGGGTTTGATTGAGTAAATTCAAGTTATTTCAACTGAATGTTTAGTTGTTTACTGTAGTGCACAGAAAGCAGCTGACTTTGTATGGTACTATGTTTTGGGATTAGGGTTTAGCAAATGTTTAAATTGGGTTTATGGAGAAATTGTCTAAATTTCTAGATTGTTGAATATCTCAGAATATTTGATGTCAGATCTATTATTTGTACTTCTCTGCATTCAAATCAGCTATGGTTTTACACTGTTATGGTTAGATAACGCTTATGATGAATTGATGATGTATTATTGTTATTTTGATTTATAATTATGTAATCAACTCGAAGTTAGTTATGTATTATAGGCTTAAGAAACTCAAAAGATATTGTAAAATCTATAATATTTGTAGAACATGTGAAAATGCAGATTAATTACTCTGTAGTGATTTTATTTGACTCTTGAAACTCTTAATCGTCTCGTGATCATCTTGTTACTCTGCTGTTTAGTTGAATTTTTAAGAAAAACGTTGTGGCTTGATCTTGCAGAAAGTCTGCAGCACATGCTGCTCAGCAGAAGCAAGAAAACGAGGAGGCGGAAGAGAGACTGGCCCTGCAGAAGGCGAGGGAGGTTGATGCTTTTGATCAACAAAACCATGGTGCAGTACCCCAGTATAACGACAAAAGCTACAGCGTAGACAAGAATGGATTTCACGGGGCTAACAGTGTGAAGGCAACTTCCTACGAGGAGGAGGCGCTCCGGACAATGAAAGCATTTTGGCTGCCTTCTGCCACGCCTGAAGCTCCGGTAAAAGTTGATGCCCCATCCACGAGCACTGTTTGTCCCGAAGGAAACGAGAAGCTCAAGCTGAAAAACCTTTTCTCTATACACTTCACGGAGGATACTAGTGAGGGACAGAAGAAAACCAGCTCTCTCGACAAGTCATACATCTGTCCGAGCTGTAAGGTCACTCTAACCAACACTCTGGCTCTCGTGGCCATAAATACTTGCGGCCACGTCTTCTGCAAGAAGTGTGCAAACAAATTCGTTGTAGCGGACAAGGTCTGTTTGGTGTGTGACAGGCCGTGTAAAGACAGGAATGTCGTGAACCTGGAGAAAGGAGGAACTGGCTTTGCTGCCCATGGAGATAATCTTGAAGCAAAGGACTTCAAGCATTTGGGAAGCGGATCTGGATTAGGCCTAGTGAGGCCTGCAATGAAGACTTGATACTACAGTATGGTGGTGCTGCCATTGTTAGATCTGTTTATTAGAGCTCCCTTTTGGCTTTTGCTGTAACATAAATTTATGTGTTTCAAGATATATTCATACCAACTGCGAATTCTTGCGTTTCCAGATGTTAATACATTTGCCTGTTCAATTTGTGAGGCCACTTTTAACTGTTGAAATATAGATAACATATTGGCGTTGTTTGGTAAAATAGTTAGTCTATCAGTCAATTTTAACTTATTTGATAATTATTAGTTGTTTGACTTGGTTAAACCATCAATATGAGTGCAACACGTGGACCCTAGTCGCTTATCACATTAATGGTTATATGCTCAACAAGAATTGTCAATCCATATGCTCAACAAGAATTGTCAATCCAAAAAACCTTTTTATCTTACCAGATACATAGTAGAGTTTCACAATTTAAAAGGTAGAAACTAAACAGTGGGTACAAGAATCATCTTCTGTGTGTACATCGCGGTGGCGGAGAAGAAATCTAAATGAGTTTCCAGTTACTAGCCACCACTTCCACCGCACAAGCGCCGCCGCCGCCGTTGCCGCCGTCTCTTGCCCCAAGGACCCACATCCCAGCCCATGTATACACGCACCCAGCCGCAATCCTCCTGGAGCTCTGCACCTCCGTGAAAGAGCTCCGGCAAATGCTCCCAGTCGTGATAAAAAACGGCCTCTCCAACGAGCTCCTCTTCCAAACCAAGCTGGTAAGTCTATTCTCCAAATATGGCAGCTTAAACGAGGCCGCCAAGGTCTTCGAACCCATTAATCCCAAACAGGATGCTCTGTATCACACTATGCTGAAAGGACATATCCATAACTCCTCTTTAGAGTCTTCCTTCTCGTTCTACTCTCGTATGAGGTCCGACGATGTCACTCCCGTTGTATATAACTTGACATATCTGCTAAAAGCTTGCGCGGACAATTCTGATATTCAGAAGGGTAAACAGATACACGCGCAGTTGATAGTGAATGGGTTCTCGAGTGACCGGTTCGCAATGACCAGCGTTGTAAGCCTCTATGCGAAATGTAGGCTGGTTGAAGATGCGCACAAGATGTTCGAGAGAATGCCTGAAAGGGACATAGTGTCCTGGAACACTGTTATTGCTGGGTTTGTGCAAAACGGGATGCCTAAGAGAGCGTTGGAATTGGTTCTGAGGATGCATAGGGAAACTTCACTTAGACCTGACTTTGTTACAGTTGTTTCGATTTTGCCTGCCTGTGCTGCTACTGGATCCTTGAGGATTGGGAAATCGGTACATGGGTTTGTTGTGAGAAATGGGTTGGAATCTTCTGTGAATGTTTCAACTGCCTTGGTGGACATGTATGCAAAATGTGATTCAGTGGATGCTGCAAAGGTGGTGTTTGACAAGATGGATCTTAGGAGTGTTGTTTCGTGGAATGCTATGATCGATGGGTATGCGCAAAGTGGGAACTCGGATGAAGCTCTAATGTTGTTTGAAAAGATGTTGGATGAAGGATTGAGACCTACTAATGTCACTGTCATGGCTGCTCTACATGCTTGTGCTGATTCTGGGAGCCTCGAGCGTGGGCGAAGCGTTCATGAACTGATCGATCAGTTAGGCCTTGGTTCAGATGTTTCGGTGGTCAATTCTTTGATTGCAATGTACAGTAAGTGCAAGGCGGTCGATGTTGCTGCTGGGTTGTTCGAGACTTTACCCAGAAAGACGCTCGTGACTTGGAACGCGATGATCTTGGGCCTCGCGCAAAACGGGCAGGTAATGCAAGCCTTGAGTCTTTTCTGCGAAATGCAAGTTCGGAACGTGAAACCGGATTCGTTCACGCTGGTTAGCGTGGCTACGGCGCTTTCAGAGTTATCGGTACTGCGCCAGGCGAAGTGGATCCATGGACTCGCTGTGAGGACTTGTCTGGACAAGAATGTGTTTGTGATGACTGCCCTCGTGGACATGTATGCGAAATGCGGAGCGGTTTACACCGCGAGAAGGTTGTTTGACGCGATGGATGATAGGCATGTGACGACTTGGAATGTCATGGTGGATGGATATGGCACGCACGGGTTCGGGAAGGAAGCGGTTGAGTTGTTCGAGGATATGCGCGGGAGCTCGGTAGAGCCGAACGGCATAACGTTCTTGTGCATCATCTCGGCTTGCAGCCACTCGGGGTTTGTAGAGAGGGGGCAGCATTACTTCAATGTGATGCGGGAAGAGTATGGGATACGGCCCTCGATGGACCACTACGGTGCCATGGTTGATCTTCTCGGTCGAGCTGGTAGGCTCAACGAAGCTTGGGACTTCATCAATAACATGCCCGTTGAGCCCGAGATCAACGTCTTCGGTGCAATGCTGGGCGCTTGCAGGATCCACAAGAACATCGAGCTCGGGGAGAAGGCCGCAGACCGACTATTCGAGCTGCACCCTGACGACGGTGGATACCATGTTTTGCTCGCTAACATATACGCCTCAGCTTCGATGTGGAACAAAGTGGCTAAAGTCCGAACCCTGATGGAGAAGAAAGGGATTCGCAAAACCCCCGGCTGCAGTCTCGTCGATTTGAGAAACGAGGTCCATTCGTTCTACTCTGGCAGCACAACCCACCCCCAGTCCAAACAGATCTATGCATATCTCGAAACCCTGCTCGAAAAGATCAAAGTCGCTGGATACACCCCCGTTACAGATTCATTCCACGATGTCGAAGATGATGTTCAGGAGCAGCTGGTCAGCACCCATAGCGAAAAGCTTGCTATCGCATTCAGTCTTCTGAACACCCGCCCCGGTACCGCTATCCATATCAGGAAAAACCTTCGGGTTTGCAGCGACTGCCATACTGCAACGAAATTCATCTCTCTCGTTACTCAGAGAGAAATTATCGTTCGTGATATGCACCGGTTCCACCATTTCAAGAACGGAACCTGTTCTTGTGGTGATTACTGGTGATCTTCCATGGCAGCAGGTACCATTCTTTATAGCTCCACCACTTTCTGAGTTTCTGTACCATCATTCTGCATTCTCAAATTTACATATTACAAAAACTGTTCTATACATTCATTTGTAAGTTTATAAAGCTACTCTTTGGACTATTCCAAATAGTTTGCAAAATTAACAACACATAATTAAAAAAAAATGGAGTAAAAACACCTAGATATTTTTAACACGGTTGGAGAACAACTCTTACTCTGATCGGTGAGGTCACGCCCAACATACTTTTTCACTATAGAACAAGAGAAATTTTTACACTTTACAAGATTCAATGAATTACCCCGTACTAAATTAGGACTGACACTCTTTTTAAACATGAATCTTGTAAACAACTTTATGAAAAAGTATAAGCATACAATTCCCCTACGCCAGCTCCCATGGCTTCCTGGAGCGAATGGGGATTAGTCGGGTGGATCTAGACCGTTAAACGGATAGAGAAAGACCTGGACTATCTCGTGGTTTGGGCTAATCCACCTGATTACACAAATTGTCACCGACCTGGTTTCTCAATATTGATTGTACTCTAGAAAATCCTTCAGAATCTTATACACACTCCATTAATGAATTGAAAAGAAACACCTCATATTACATTATTTTGTACCCAAATACTGCTAATATGTCACATAGTTGTCAAGAAACCAATAATCAATGATAGAGGGTTGTCTAGCCTGGATGGGGGACCCGACCCACTTTTCCTTCCATTTCTTCCCCGCCGGCGCTGGAATAGGCCGGAACTGTTCCACCATTTCTGGCCCCATAAAGAACAGCCGGGTTTATTTCATGGCTGTCCAGACCCATAACAGGCCTCATGCCACCATAAACTTGGCCTATACTTGAAACTTGTTGGGGAAGCCCGACGGGTACTTGACCCGGAATGACCTGATAGGGTTGAACGTATTGACCTCGTTGCGGAATTGGATGTGCCGGCGGGTGGCTGCCGCCGGCGGCCTGAACTGGTCCGACTCCGGGGACGTAATAAATGGGCATGGGTTGAACTTGTGGTCCTGGGACTGTGTAATGCCAATACGGGCTACCCGGATACCCGGATTGCTGGTGCGGGGCGGCAGTCTCAATCGACGTTGCTTTGGGTTCGGCGGCGGGGATAGGTTGATCGGGCTTTGTTTTCACCGGCGGGAGATCCGGCATCACGGTCACGTTAGGCGTGGCCAGCGCCGATGAGGTGGAGCAGAACGGGGAAGAAACCGCCGGCGCCGGCGAACCCGGATCCGAATTCGACGCGTTCTCGTGGAAAAGATGCTTGTTCTTCATCATCCGGGATTCACGGAGAAGCGGCGGCTCGTCGGCGTTTTCCAACCCGAACAAATAATCCGGCACCTCCGACACAATCGACGACGCCTCCGACCTCCCGCGCTCCAGCCCCCGACCCGACCCGCCGTTAAGCGCGTCGAAAAACCAGTGCTCCCGCTTAGCCGACCCGTCGAGAATAGAATTAATCGTGCTGGCTCTCGAATCCGCGTCGGTCGGAAAAAGGAAAAGCCGCAGACGCGCCGCCGCCTTGTGACTCTGCGCCACCACGCGGTCATACTCGTCCATCATATTCTCCACGTCCTCGTCCGTCGTGACCGTAATCAACGAGTCCAGGTCCTCGTTGGGAAGCTGGTACTTCACGACCACGCTGGCCGTGCCGGCGATCTTGGAGAGCTTAACGAGGAGGGACGAGAATGACGCGTGGCGGTTCAACGCGACTATGCGCGTGTCGCCGCCGACGTAGCGGAGCTGATTGTCGTGCGGCCGGGGAAGGATCTTCCCGCCGAAACTGCACATGAAGCGGACGCGTGGCAGCTGCTGCATGGAGACGCCATCGTCGGCGAGGTTTTGGTGGTGCTCCGACCGCGGCGTCGAAGCGACGGAGTCGCCTGCGTTGGACTCCAACTCCATAGCTGCGTAGCGTGCCGCCATTACTGCAATAATATTGAGAATATACAATATAGCTGGGCTGGGTAAGCATACATGTATCTATCTATTTATATAATGATGAAAGAAGCGTAAATTTGAACCATGGAAATATTTCAACATAATCAAACTATGATTCCATTAGTCAAACTCAACTCATGGTTCCCAAAAGGTTGAATCTCCCATCCCGGCTCTCAACGAGATATTCTAGAAGGATGTAATAAGTCATGGTAGCTTAGCTGAGGTTAAACTTTTTAGACTCGATTCCGGGTTATTTTTCCTAAACTTCACCATGTGACCAACTGAGCTGTCCATGGGGTAGTTAAACTCAACTCATAATTTACTTTTGAGCAAATACCAATTTTAGTCCTACGAGTATTATCAAAATGATATTTTTGGTTTACATGTTTAATTCCTACCAATTTTCATTCACGACTATTGTTTTAGTGCTAAAATTCATCACAACGGTTCACTCCACCTTTTAAAGACATGTCAAAATAAATAAATAAATAAAAACAAATTTAGGGTATTTTCGTCATTTTCAACTTAAGATTTCAATTTGAGCATAAATAATGAGATTTAAGCCCTATTATCGATCCCAATTTGTAGTTTTGCACCTCATCATACCTTAATTTGAGGAGGAGAAATGCAAATTGGGATCGATCTTAGAGCTTAAGTTCATTTATTTCTGCTCAAATTGAGATTTTAATTTGAAAAGGACGTAAATACCCTTAATAATTTCATATTTCAGTATGTCTTAAATGAAATGATGACCGGCGTGATGAATTTTGACACTAAAATAATAGCTGTGGACGAAAATCGGTACTAAAATAATAGTTGTGAATGAAAATTGGTAGGAATTAAACATTTGGATCAAAACTGTCATTTTGTTAATACTCGTGGAAACAAAAATTTGTATTTACTCAATTACTTTTAGTTCTCAAGTTATAAAGTAATATAATAGAAAAATTTAATCACTGAAGTATATATACATGTTACGTTTCTTAGTACGATTTTGATGGAGAAAGGAAAATAAAGAGTTAAAATTTCATTGGTAGTATTGGTTAACTATAATTTCCGAAGAGAAACAGTAAACTTTGATAAACTCGTAAATGGAAAGACCAAAAATGTTACTTCGCTAATAACTTTGACTGATGATGCTTATAACATAAAAATTAATATGCTATTGCTCTATGCCTCTATAACTCAAGGAACAAAAGTACAAGTTTCCCAATTATATTTTTTAATATACTCTGTATTTTATAATATATTTTTATTTTATTATTAATTCATTTAATTTTAAAAATTAAAACCATTAACTGAATTACTGAACTGATGTAATTTGATATATATATATATATATATATATATATATATATATATATATATATATATATATATATTGTGTATATGTGGGGAGGCGGGCAATTATATATATAGCCACACAACACACACATATATAGTACTTTGTATATAACATATATAATTTTAAAAGTATTCTTGTTATTGTATGTCATGTTTTTGAAATGCATATTTAAATAACGTGTTTAATTGTAAAATATTGAATACGACTTTAAGTTGGGAATGAATATATATGCGTTATTTATTTAAATATTTTTAATGTTTAATTTTTATTTTTATAACTTATTAACAAGGTGGGAATTCCCCGTCCCCGAATAATCCTTGTGCGGATGGAGATGGGGAGAGTTTTTCCTTCCCCGGTGGGGATGAAGACGGGGACGAGGAATGGGAAGAAAGTCGGGAGCAGGGATGGGGGTTTGTCCCCCGCGCCGTTGACATCCCTATATATATATATATATATATATATATATATATATATATATATATATATATATATATATATATATATATATATAGGGGCTGGTTCTGGTGCTAAGGATCTTTCAAGTGAAAGATGAGGTTAAATCTGAGTCGTTGATCTAATCTAGATCATCGACGCAAATCAAGAAAAATTATTATAAAACAGCGTGCTTCTGCCAATATGCATGCAATGATCAATTGTCTCAAATTGATGCACCTTAAGATATAAAACAAACACTTTAAGTTATAAAACTATGCACCAAGACTATGTGGTTTGTGGGCTCATTATTGAGTCAGTAGCATTCAAAAACAAATGACTCACCTTAAGCACAGAAATCACGTACCTTAAGTTTGACCTAAACGCAAAAGACCAAATTGCCACCGTGTTTTTTTTTAAATACATTTTCTTTAATCTCGATTGTTGATTTTGATTAGATCAGTCATGACTGAGATTAAACCACATCTTTTACCTAAAGCCTATTATCGCATTTGATCTCTATTATATATATATATATATATATATATATATATATATATATATATATATATATATATATATATATATATATATATATATATATATATATATATATATATATAGTGAAAGGTTCCACCATGCGGTTGAATGCTTCCCGTGCGGATGTGCGGTGGATTAATGTGCGTGAGATTTGTACTCAATGTACATGAGTGTTGTGCTTAATGTGCCTGAGATTTATACTTAATGTGCGTGAATGTGTAAAATGCAGCAGAAAATATTGATGTCAGCTTCTTCCCCATCCCCAGTAGCCATTACCCCCCCTCCCCCCCCCCCCCCCCCGATGATGATGATGTGGATCGGAGGCGGGCTATGGTGGTTAAGAATTATGGGAATAATACAACAGAAATCTACACTTAGTTGCTGTGCAAATTTTACTGGTGCGTGCGTCATCTATATAAACATTCAACTGCACTAAAGGTAGCTGATAATTCAGAATCCATGGCCAAATTGAAGGAAGAAGTAACAAGAAGTTTTGGCGTTAATGTGCGTGAGTTTCTGTTCTGCTTCCTTCTGAGCTCATAATTCTGAAATACTCACACACATGAAGCACAAATCTCACGCACATTAAACACAATACTCAGGCACATTAAGTACAAAACTCACGCATATTAACATGACGCACATTAAGTACAAATCCCAGGAACATTGAGTACAAATCTCACGTACATTAAGTATAAACCTCATGCACATTAATCCACCGCACAACCGGACGGGAAGCCACAAATGCACCTGATCCCTTCCCTATATATATATATATATATATATATATATATATATATATATATATATATATATATATATATATATATATATATATAAAATATTATGGGGCCTTTCCATTGTTGGATGCCCTGCCAGTGAAGGCATACAAAAAAAAAATTGGAATATGCTAATGCGTTGTCTATTATCTCCCTTTCTAATTAACTTTTAATTTTGAATGATAATCCATGTGTTTCATTTGCCTATTTGATTATGATTTTTATTTTTGTTTTTACTTTCCAATGATAAAACCCCTTTTTAGGTGAAATCCAATGACGGTGACCCTTGTATTCTCTTTATATTGGTGTAAAACACGAGGTGATCTTGGTCTTTTTTTTTTCACACATAAAAGAGAATTCATTTTCCATTTAAACTACCTGTTAGTTTTTATTCTTGAAAAGTATTCTCTTCATGTTAAATGATATTTCAACACTAAGAAAACAATGCCAAAATAAGTATATTATATTGTAACGTTTCCTTCTCAAATTTACCTTGTGATTAAATTGGTATCACTCAATTAATTCTTGCTTATAATTCATATTTGATTATTAATTTCAATAGGTATATATATATTTTAAAAAAATTGTGTGATACGATCCCACATTGGTTCCACAAGAGATTGTGGATTGGTACTAAATTGGGGTCAAACCTCCACTCATGAGCAAGCTTTTGTGGCGGAGTTAATGTCTTGACTTGTGTACTATATCATTGTGTTAGGTTCAATTCATGGGGTTTTTATTGCAAGGAGAATTAACAATATCTTATTTTAAAAAATAGTGCTTTTAGTCACTCACTTATGATTATTGTGTAGATTTGTTCTTTTAATTATTTACAATACAGATTTAATCTTTCAATTATTATCAAAAAGATCAGACCAAATCAAGTGACATATTAATGACCGATTTAGTTTTTAAAGTATCAAATTTGTTACTTTAATACTGAATGAAGGATTATATTTATATTTCAAATAATTAAATATTATTGTGAAACTGGATGAATCCTTGTGTGAACAGTGTATCGTTTACATCTCAAGAATATAATAGAGGGAAGAGAGACAGAGTACAGAGAGAATTATCAATCTTTTATTAATCATCATTCAACTGTATAATATAAACAAGATATACAGAGTTCTAGTATATACTATAATACTACAAATTAAAGGATGGAGATTTATTATCATAGTATAATACATTTAGTAATGTCTAGATATATTTATTTACAACAAATATATTTACATTTTAGTCACGACTAAAAATGCTATTTATCATTTTTTTTCTAAAGATAATATAAGAATATATTCAAGTAATAAAGGACAAAGATAATGACTAGTATGTAAACAAATGCAGCAAAACCAATAGCTTGATTCTAATCTGCTGCAAAGAAAAGAAAAAATGAAAAATAAATATATTTAAAGAATTAAAGGTGAGAGTTTGACGTTGAAGTTTGGGGTGGCAAGTTTGTCAGGCGTGGCGGTGGGGTGAACGACGTGGCTTCCAATTATATCCAAAATAATAATAATAGTAATAAATTCCAATTCAACCAATTTGCTTCAATTACAAATATTTTAGAAAATATAATGATCTCTACTCTCAGCCAGCCAAAAAAGATAAAGATATCTCATATATAATTATAATTATAACAATTATATGTCATAGTTGGGACAATCTAACCAAATTGATTGAAAAATTAATTTAATAATCACAAAGTTTAAAATTTGACTCTTGCTTATTTGCCTTTTTAATTTTAGCCGATCTTATTATTTTTCTTTGCCAACTAGGATCATAAGATCGAAGTGGTGACTACAGATTTTCATGTAAAATCAAAGTTTCATACAAGAGTGAAAAACCAATAATGTGATTAGGTTATTAAAAACAACAATGGTATAATTGAAGGACGAAAAAATGTTAATTCCTTATAATTCAATCACAAAAAGTGTTATTTAATTATGTATTTCTTTTCTCTCAATGGGTCGAGTGGAAGATGCATATAATTATTGTATTTAAATGTTAGGCTATTACATAGGAGTGTGGATGAAAGATGTCATTTTTTTTCTTTCAACAAATGTCCATTTATTTTTTAGTTGGTAAAAAACTAAAAATTATGATTTTTTTTTTTTTTAATTTTCAACTGTTGGGTTATTTCGAAAACTCTATCTCAACCATGTTACTCGTATTTATGTCATGAATAAATAAATACTCCATATATATTTTCCGATTCAAGTACACTATAAAACACTTACTTTTTTTTTTCCCTTCCAATGGCTATGAAATGTTTGTAAGCCTGTATTCAATTTAGAGTTTTAATGATTTTTGTAGACTTTTTAATATGAAATTTTTTTTTAAAGTTTATAAATATTTTATCTTATAAATTTTTATAAACTCATAAAAAATTGATGAAAGTCTAAAAATTTTAAAAAAGTATAAAAAGATTTTATAAAAATTATTTAAAATCTTTCACTTTAAAACTCTTTGATAATCTTTAAAAGTTTTGATTGAGAATACACCCCCAGTCTCTTGCATCACAAAAACTTATTTTAATTTCACTTAGCTCTCCTTGTAACCTGAAAACTGCTACACCTAAAATCAATGGACAAAAATAGAATGGGGTCGTACTAGTGACATCAATGGCGGTTCAGATATAATTCTTTATTTCATGTAAATATATAATTTTATTGTCCTGTTATGATAATTTAAGTGATTGACCAATTAACATTTAGTCTTGCTTTTAGTAATAAGGTGAACGTTCGAACCCACTGAAAATCTGAAGAGTCATTGCACAATTTGAAATTTACTTTTTTCATAGGCCTTGGGGCGGTTTATGAGGATTCATGATATAGTATGGCGAACCTGCGAAATTTGGATTATAAAAAAAGTATATTATTTACCTTTGTAATGGCTCTAGCCGCGGATCGGAGTCCTATGAGCTTAGAATTAATTCGGTGAAATTGAGATAGGAAAATATTTGGTGTACTCCCATTTTAAACTCCCAACTTGTACTCCCTCTCACATGTTCTTGATGTAGACATTTTTCTGTGGACCCACATGATGAAAATAACCAATCTTGATTTGCCACCTCAGGGAGTATAAATGAGGGAGTAGAATTTTGGGAGTCTATGTTGTAGAACTCATTGAGATAACTTAAGTATCTTTTTGTGACGCCAAGTTGCTCACCCGAAATGTTGTGGGTTCAAACCTAGACGGTATTGACTCTTTGTGCTTCAGTAGGTTGAGAAAATAATTATGAACAGAGATATTGTATTGTAACATAGTCACTAGTACTAAAAAAAGTTTTTTTTTTTTAAAGTATATTATTTAATTTTAATTTTGGTTATAATTTTAATTAAAAATTAGGAAAGCAAGTTGGAAAATGATTAAGGGAATCTTTCGTTTTCAGTGACTAGGTGGTCGGTGGCTAAGAACACTTTTAGGACAGAGACTTGTGGGATCAAACAACAATTTGTATGTGGTGCTCATTGCTTCCCACTTGCCCACTTTATTTCTACATTCGTCACGATAATGACATGAAACGCAATTGAGTTATATGATCTTCTAAAATATATAATATGAAATAATGTTACAAAAGTTAGTTTATTCTTACTTCCCAATTTGTTATCATCTTTTTGTTAGCTAGTGACCAAAAATATGTGTTTGGGATGTTAGGTTCTTGATGAAGTGAATTGGAAAAGTTTATTATTTAGTTTTAAAACGTAACGGGTTCGATTCTTGTCAACACCTTTTTGATCGAACTTGTCAAGTGGTCTTCTTAGGGTAATTTACATCTCTTGTGTAGTTTGCATAATATTATACAATCACGGCTAAAGATTATGGAATTTCCGACCACCTGAAAGTGATCTTATATCAAGTCGAAAGCAAAAAGTGGTCGGAAATAGCAACAAAGGTTTTTTCGAATATTAAAAGTGGTCGGAACAAGACTTTCGATCTGATTTAAGATCATTTTCAGGTGGTCGGAAATTTCAAAATTTCCAGCAGTGAATATTGAAGTTTATCTAATGCACACCCTAAAATAGTATCTGTGAATTTTCCCCGTCACGAAAAATAAAAAATAAAAAATTAGTGTTACGGAAGATTGACCAACCTCAACAAGTTGGCAAGGGCTTGCAAGATGTTCCTTTGTAGGTTGTCACAATTGTAAGACATATGAGACAATATATTGATAAAAATTAAAGAATATTATATACTATACAAAGTTTGGCGTAAAGAATAGAGAATCAAACCAAAGCTAAGGTTTGGCCAGAGAATAGAGATAAAATCAGTATAAATTTCCAACCCAAAAGAACTTCACAGAATCACTGCCAGTACTCATTATACTGATCTTCAAAGAAGAAAACAGCTCCATGCCCATTCCCTCACAGACAAGAAGAATGCTAGCTGGCCGAGCGGATAAAATATAATTCTCATATCTGAAGTTCAAGAACTCGATTTGATCTTGTCAATTCTATCTCAGTTGAGCTTATTGTACATGATTTTTTTAGTGTAATTTATCTTTGTGTGGTTTGCGACTTTGCGTGCTATTAAATATGAAAGTGTTGTCAGATAGAGTGGAACCAATCTTCATGATTGCCCCGTGAGAAAATGATAAATTTTTAGAGATATAATAGAAAAAAAAAAAAAAAAAAATCAGTGTAGGCAGGCTGCTTGTGCAGTTGTGCCTATATGAAGCCCATATAATACTGGACTGGAAATGCACCTTTTGGGCCAGAGAAAAAGTTGTTGGACCAAAGAACCCAAGCCCACATTCTGAATTATCCACTCACATGCCCATGCACACACTAAATTATATTGTAGATTTGTAGACAAAGGTCCACAATTATTCAATTGTCATGCCTTTCAAAATTTTCCTTAAAAAATGTATCTTGTTGCTAGTCTAGAAGAATATAATGTGTTCTAATAGCATTCTCAATAGTTATAATTTTTGCAGGTGTGATTAGGAAAAAAAATATATGAGAGAATAGAAAAACGAGAAAAAAAAATAAAGCAAAACAAAGCTGGAAACCAAAACAAAGGAAAAAAGTGTCATTAACGTGCCCGGCTGGGCGCTGTGTTGCGCTTCACGCGAGGTGGACACGAAAATCTGTTTTTCTTAGTGGGTCCCACACATCTGATAAAAATCAATGCTTTGCAAGGATATTTTTTTCCACCTCTCCTCACCCTCTCTCATCCACATAAGCCTTATTTTTCAAAAACCACACCAAAAACTTCTATTGAGAATGACCTAAGTAGCTATGCATTTGAGCACACATAAGATGAAGCCATGCAAATTCTACATTCATTTGGCTGTACGTTTTAATGGTGCATATATGTTATATAAACTAGGATGGTCGGACTTTACACGTACCTAATTTTACAAACACGATTACAAATCTCTTACTTCTTATTTAAAACTAGATAGCAAAACTTGTACACGATGTCAAATCATCCAGATAATCAAGAAGAAAACATTGCATGATTCCTGAGATGATCATCAACCTAATCTTCCTTAATCTGTCATCCATTATCTTCCTTAAAACTCAACTGACCCCTAACGTAATTACACACCACTGTCACCACTGTACTGTTTCATTGTTACTGTCCATATAATCGTAGCCATTGATTATTGATCAAAAAAAAGCATAAAGTATTACTGACAGAGCAAGAATCTAGAGCTACTAGGCTAAAAACAATTTTTTTTTGGTCAGTTTATATATAATTTCTTTAGCTCTTTCACAGTCTGTATAGTATCATTATATGCATGTAAGATCCAAAAAACAGCCAAAATTATGCATTCCCACAAACAAAATGTACACAGAAACATGAAAAACCTCAAAATCCACTGTTTTTAATGTATATCAGAGCCAATAATTGAACATTAATTAATCCATTTGGTACTATGGTATGATGATACTATGATCAACCCAAATTGTCATTTGAGGGTCCAAATTGTCATTAATCAGACAAATAATCTTGAATCATTAGACTGACATTGTCAGTCCAAAATTGAGTGATGAATCAGGGTAGAATTGTAGAAAGCTCAAAACTTTGAGATAAAAACATGGATGAACAAAAATGGAATTTTGACAGAATTAAAGTAATGATCTTTTACATTAAACTGTGGCATCCTACTAAGCAACAGAAACATGTGAGAATACTCAAAATCAGTGAACCCAAAAAAATAAAAGAGAAAAAAACAGGAAATTCAGTGAAATTTTGGTTACTTATATAGGCTGAAATCAATGAATCTTTGTAATATCTACAAGAAAAACATCATTAAATTATCTGATTCATGTACAGAGATGAGAAATTGAGAATTACCAACTTCTAACCACCCACCGCAAGATGTTTTTTTGATGCAATAAAGCTACAGAGAAACGAGGGGTCATAATTGGTGGCAGTGATAAATAGATTCCACTTGTGACTCAACCAAGACAATGTAGGACTCTTCTTCCTCTTTCATCACACTCCAACACGGAAAATCTTAAATCTTGAATCTTGAAACCCTTTTTCCCAGTAAATTTTTTTTATTTTTTGTTGTTTTTTCTAATCTGGGGCACAAAACCCTAATCTTGATTCTTGAAAGGCTTCCCCACAAGGAAAGACTGAGTCTTTGGGAGGAAATCTCGAGTTCTCGAGGGATTGTTGAAAAAGTAGAAAGAAAAAAAAAACCCTATGTCGGAGGGGGAGTCTTTGCCGGACGATCTCCGGTGCAACCGGACGGACGGGAGGCAATGGCGGTGCAAGCGGCGGGTGCTGGAGGGGAAGAAGCTGTGCGACATTCACTATATGCAGGGCCGGCACCGGCAGATGAAGCAGAAGGTCCCCGACTCGCTGAAATTCGAGCGGGCGAGGAAGATGAAGAAGGCGGCGGATAAGGGCCACGAAATTGGGGTTTCCCGGCGGGAGAAGACGCTGAAAGTGGCGAGGAAATTGAGGGCGGCGGCCAAGCGGAAGCGCTGCGTTTCCGAGGCTTTGGATGAAGCGTTGAAGAGAATGGAGCTGAAGCGAGGGGATTTGCCATTGGAGCTCATCCGGGTGTTCTTGAAACGCCAGGTGGAGAAGAAGAAACAGAAGGAGCTCAAGAATGATAGCGACGCAGCATCAATGCGTGAATTCCCCAATGCTGTAATGGCTATCCCCAATTTACCTTCTAATAACCTCAACAATGGCGGTTTCATCTCGGGCATCAAATTGGGGGCGGATTTGAGCTTGAGTCCCTTCTCGGCCAGGCAGTTTAGGTCAAAGAACATTGAACTTCCTCCCATCACCACACTGCAGGTCTCTATTTCTTTCAACTCCCAATTAATATTTCATAAGCATTGCATTAATTTGAATTCGATTGTATGAACTTGCAGGCCGTGCCATTCGCCAAGAATCTGAAGAAAGTGAAGAGGAAGAAGTGCCACTGGTGTAGAAGAACCAACTATAGGATTCTCGTCAAATGCTCGAGTTGCAAAAAGCAATCTTTTTGCATGGATTGCATTAAAGAACGGTTCGTGATTCATTCCCCTGCACTGTCCTGTTTTAGCTTCCATGTTTACTTGATAATCCATACTAGTCTTAGTGTGTAGAATTCACAATTTACTGCATTGTTGTAGTGTCATTATACGAAATAATGAATTGGAACTAAATGGAAGGAGGAAAGTCGGGGGAAATGATAAAAATAGGGGGTTAATAGTCTATCTCATTGATATTCGAGTTTCGTCGATACAATTATGCAAGCATAGAATTTGATGTTTCTTGGATTGAAAATAAATTTCGGGTAGTAACTACTGCAGATGGAGCTAAAAAGAATATTTAGATCCTCTTATAGTTGTAAATACATTCTCTTTAATGACCATGAATCGTAATTTATGAGACAAAAGCCTAAAAGTTCATTCCTTGGTGTTTACTGTTTGTTGTTTCTTCTCTTTTTTCGTCTTTTATTTCTGAACAAGATACATTTAAGGTACCACAATTATTACTATTTCTTTTTGGGACAAAAGTTGAGGAATCGCTTATAAACATCTGATGTTTGAGTTGCTTTAGGCACCTTGAGAAGCCGGAGATTAAAGCAGCATGCCCTGTGTGTCGTGGGAGCTGCAGCTGTAGAATCTGCACAAAAACAAAATCGAAGGCTATCAACTTCAAGGTTTGTCCTACAAAAGGCTGAATTTTTAGTGTCGGTGAGCTTATATTAATGCTGATGCACCTGCCTATATGTATGATCTTATCAGGAATTTTATAGGGACAAGAAAAGGGTTAACGAAACTCGACTGCTTTATTATCTTATCCATTCACTTCTTCCTGTTCTGGAAAAGATCAACCAAGAACAGAGCTTTGAGTTGGAGATAGAAGCTAACATATCAGGTGAAAACTCCCGACTTTACCTTGTGCATCTTTGTTTTTGAATCTAGTCTTAAGCTCTATGTTAAATAGGAAAAGAAAACTCGGGGGAAGTCCAGATACAGCAGGCTGCAGTGGGCCCCAAGAAGTTATATTGCTGGTAAGTTGAGCATTACTCGAATCTTTTGTTGTAGTCGAGAAATACCCAATGGCGAATACTCTCTAATGTCTAAATTGCTCTCTTTGTGGTCCGTGGAATTGAACGTGGAGCAGCAGTAACTGTAAGGCTTCCGTTCTGGATTACCACAGAAGCTGCTTAAACTGTTCTTTTGTACTTTGCATAAATTGTTGCTCGGAGCTTCGACAAAGATGTGAACCTTGCATTGATGGCAGCATATCTTGCCCACCTAAAGAATCCGGTGGTTGCAGTGGCGGCTTCCTTCACTTGAGATGCCTTTTCCCTTGCAATTGGTTTAAGGAGCTGGAAATTAGCGCCCGAGCGACATTGTGCCACAACAAAAAGTACGAAGAAACTGAAGATGCTTCTGGGTCATGCTCACCGTGCAAGGAAGGTGATCGTAAAGCTTGTGGGGTAAATAATTTGCTCGTGGAATTAGCTCAAAGACTAGACACGAATGACAACTTTCTGTATTGCCCCGCTTTGAAGGATCTCTGGGAAGAAGACTTTGAAAACTTTCAGAAACACTGGGGAAAAGGTCATCCTGTTATAGTAAAAAACGTGCTCCGGAGTTCTTCAGAATTGTCATGGGATCCCGTTTTTATGTTCTGCACTTACCTCGAGAAGAGGTCTAAGTGTCCAAAAAATAAAGAACCTACAAAAACACCAAATTCCCTCGACTGGTGTGAGGTCAGTATTTTTGTCAATCATTAACTCTTAGATTACTGGGTACTAATAACTTTTTGCTCGATATGTTTTATATATGAACATTTTAATATTTGCAGGTAGAAATCGCCAGAAAGCAGGTCTTTATGGGGTCATTGCAATGGCAGACACATGCAGCTATTAGGCAACAAATGATAAAGTTTAGAGCTTGGCTTTCTTCCCATCTATTCGAAGAACAGTTTCCAGCGCATTATTTGGAAATCTTACGAGCTTTGCCACTTCAGGAGTATATGAATCCCAAGTCTGGTCTCCTCAACCTAGCGGTGAAATTACCGGGGGAAATGGCAGCACCCGACGTAGGTCCTAATATCTATATCTCGTATGGTGGGTCCGAAGAGCTCGTGCGAACTGAATTCACAACTAACCTGTGCTACGAGTCTTATGATATGGTAGGATTATTCTCAAGTCGTCGTTTTGTTTTCCTAGTAATTGAATTTAAGGTGTTGAAATCAAGAACGTATTTATATTTATGATGTGTTTCATTGGTTTTGGTCTCAGGTGAACATTTTAGCATATGCTACGGATGCGCCCGTATCTAAAGAACAGCTATGTAAAGTTAAAACTTTGATGAAAACATTTGGCGCTAAAGATCAGAGTGAAGATACTGAAGAATCGGGCTTGCAGGATGTGAATGGAGAGCACCCGCAATTGCCTGATGCTATTGCGAAAGTGCCCTTCTATTCTGCTGACTCGCATAAAGACCAAACATTTGGCGTTGAGGACAGTGACTGTGACTCGGGATCTGATTCCGAGGGCTCGATACTCTGCTCTGAATCAGTCGACAGATTAACAGACTCGGACATTGATGATTTCTTTAACGATAGCTTAGAATCCACCAATACTCATGGTACAGAAAACTCGGCTACAGTTTGTGGGGCCCAGTGGGATGTTTTCCGCAGACAGGATGTCCCGAAACTTGTGGAATATCTCGGGAGGCACTCTAAGGAGTTCACCTCTGCTTGCAGCTATTCTAAACAGGTATTTAGTATTTACCAATACAAACGTTCCCGTAAATTTATAGCATCTGAGATTCTTTGTGATCACTTTTTTGGTCAATTTATCATAGCCTGCGCATCCGATTCTTGATCAAGATTTCTTCCTCGACGCATATCATAAATTGAAGCTTAAAGAGGAATTCGGTAATTTCAGTTCCTGGTCTTTCTCCATTTTCGTTCCATTGCTCGTGTTCTTGAAGTGATTTCTCGTTTATTTTTTGTTAGATGTTCAACCATGGACGTTCGACCAACATCCTGGCGAAGCTGTGATCATCCCCGCTGGATGTCCATATCAAATTAGACAACTTAAGGTAGCTCTAATCTTATACATGACATGAACTCGAGCACTTCCCGGATACACACACACACACACACACACACGCTTGTATAGTTGTATGTCTATTGCATAACCATTACAGTCTTCTGTGTGTATAATTCTTGAAAATGTTATATATATACAGTCATGTGTGAACATTGTTTTGAACTTTCTGTCGCCTGAAAACGCGGCCGAGTGCATCCATTTGAGCGATGAAATTCGAGTCCTTCCTGCCCACCACAAAGCGAGAAGAAAACTGATGGAGGCAAGTTTCAGAACACTCTTTTACTTTTGCTATTATCTTTTTGTCATGTTTCTTGACAAAAACGCGTAAAACAGGTCAAGAAAATGGCTGTATGTGGGATTCGAGATGCAGTTGGAGCAATTCATGACATAACTACTACAAAATCGCTCTCTTGAACCGTTCTGATAAACCCAAAACGTCCGTCTTTCCTGAAGAACCCAGACTTCTATTATCGCGCCATTTGCCAAAGGTGACTCCTTTTTCAGGCTTATTCATACTGTCTGTAAACTGTAAACAAGTAAACTCATTTCTTTTCATTCGTTCTTGATAAAGGGTCTGCATCTGTGTCAAAAAATCGCGAAAGCTCTTTATATTCATTCCTGTGTGCTTGAAAGAAAGAAATGGTGTTCTGGGTTGAGCGTTCCCAGACTGATTGATTCATGTAATTGGTTTCTTCTTCTTCTTCATCATCATCATCATCATCATCTCTGTGAATGGCTGTGTCTTGGTGGTGATCATGCGAGGTAAAACTGAACTAATTTGTAGTGATTCTGGATTTGGATGTTGTGGGGTTCACTGAAATCATTGTTTTGGACAGGCAAATGTAATTGACAACAATTTTGTGTAATAGCAACGATGGAACAACCTTATACTTCCCCCAACTTTACTTGTTTCTTTTACATGTAAATTGTTTGCTGTAAATAACATTTCGTTTTAAGTTAATGTTTGACAGTGTTATAGCTAATACATTTATACATGGTTTTAAATGACTTAACTAGTATGCTAGTCATGCGATGTATGATCAAATTTGTAGTTATATTTATATGTATAAGTGTTTTGACATTTTGTGATAATAATAAAAGAAACGCATATGATCTAAATATTGTAATATATAAAGCATTTTAAGATATAAACCTTTGATATTATGATACAAAGCATATGATCTGAATATTATCATAAGACATAATAATTGGCATAATGTTAATTTATTGTTATGGTATAAATTTATATATTTTGAAATTATATTAAAAGTCCAAGAATTAAATTTAAAAATAATTTTAAAATATTAAAAAGAATGAATAAAGAAAGAAAAAAATAGTTTAACAAATAAATACGTACTAAACATAACAAGACAAAAATTAATGATATGACAAAATTCAAGATTAAACACACTACATGTCTTATGTCTACATTTACATGCACGATACATATAAAGTGAGAGGATATATATGATATGATCAGCGCTTCTTGTTGGTAGCCGATTGTTTTTGGGAGTTGAAGTACAGTGCGGCCACCGGAAGGCCGAGCCCATTGGCGGCGGCGAACTGCCGAGTCCTGAAGTTTCCTCGACTCTCCGGCGGCTTCTGCGCGACCTGCATGGCCTCCCTTTGCCGGAATAGCGCGAATACGTACCGATGTATTCCGGTCGGCGGCGACGGCCCTATGTATTCCGCCACCTCTCTCCCTGCATGCAATTCCAAAACACCATTAAATCATTTATCACATCACAGTTGGAAATTATGAAATTTCCGATCACCTGAAAGTAATCAAGTTCAAAAAAGGGTCGAAAATAACAACAAAGGTTTTTCTGAAGACCAAAATGATCATAACTAGACTTTCAACTTGATTTAAGATCACTTTTAAGTGGTCAGAAATTTCATAATTTCCGGCAGTGTATTACACCCAATTTTAGCAGTATTATTAACCTTTAGAGGCATCTGATCCCTCTGGAATATCCGTAACGACCCTGAAATTTAACAAGAAAATGAAAACGTAGAAGAATTTAATTTGATTAATTAAAAAAATTAAATTTCCAGAAAATTAATTATTAATATAATCATTATATATACCAATGAAGCCACTCTCTGAAAGTTGGTTCACTGGGACTAGGAGCATCAGGATCCACCATAATCTATCAACAAAGAATTACAGGCATTAAAGAAAGATTTTTTAAAAGCCTATTTGTGTTCTTATTTTGAACCGATAAGCTAAAACTTACAAGAGTATAAAGATTGGGAGAAGCAGGGGAACCATTGATGTGAACTGAAGGCTTCTGGGCAGCTGAGGAAGGAGTGATCTCAACGCCATTGGCAATCTTTTTGGACCCATAGTCGACGGTGAACTCTACGACGGGAACGAACATGTCGAGCACGTCGCCGATCACTTTTCCGACCACCAACGGATCGACGGACCTCGGGTTAGCGTTGGCCATGGTATGCTATGTTTCTTGGACCTAGAAATGGACAGTGTTTGACACAGTTTATAAGAAAAAAAATTAAAGAGTGAAATGTAGTGAGGCGGACACGTGGAGGGAGGACTTGGGTAGTTGACACGTGGACCTTCCAAAGACTATGCAGATTGGAGGACACGTGTTCAGATTAAAGATATTCTCGATTTTCGGAACAACATTGGACAAAGGATCCGAAATATATATATATATATATATATATATATATATATATATATATATATCAAATATAATGAATTTGTGATATGTTAAAAATGAACTTATATGAAAATGTATCTTACCAATTGCTTATTATGGACCAGGGTTTATATTACATATGAATTCTAATTCAAAAATTATATGTTTACAGTTAACACATTTTGTACATACAATTAATAATTTCTATATCTATAAATAAATTGAAGGCTCATAATATTGTAATTACATATACATAACATGATAAGTACAAATACATAATTTGTAACTGCAAGTACAGAATATGTTAATAACAAACACAACTAACATTTTATGTGTTTGCAGTTAACGTATTATTACTTGCAGTTAATTATTTATATGTTTGTATTTATCATGTCACATGTCTGTAATTACCATGTAATGTGTCTTTAATTTGCTTAGAAGTTCAAAAATGATTAGGTTCAAAATCTAAAAATTATTTTTGGACCAACATTCACAATGATAGGTAGACTGATCCATAGTATAATTTATCGTATCTTACAATATGGACCCAAGTCTAAGATATAACAACTGAACAAAGAACGCAAATTATGATTATGCACCGCGCATCAAAACGACGCCGTTTTATTTAATGAAAAGAAACGAAATTCGTTTCGCACCGTTCCGCACAAAATAACTCTATTCTTCAGTTTCATTTTATATACACTGCAGTTTCAGTTCAACACAAATACAGTTTCATTTCGATATAACTACAGTTTCATTCAATATTTATACACTCAAATATGTGAAAATGTTATTTAATTTTATTTTATATACATTATAGTTTCATTAAAACACAACTACATGATCATTTCGATATAATTACAGCTTCACTGCACAATATACACTCAAATATGTAAAATGTTATTCAGTTTCATTTTATATATACTGCAGTTTCATTTCACCACAACTACAGTATCATTTTGATATAACTGCAGTTTCATTTGATAATATAAAAATAATACGTGAGGCAATATCGGTTTAGATACACTGTAGTATCACTCCGTTAACACTAACAGCGCGTCGTTTTGTTACTTAAAGAAACGATGCCGTTTTGATGCGATTATGCACCGCGGTCCATGATATAATGACTGAACAAAGAAATGATGGGCTGCCAAGTGTCCAATGGACAACTTTGGTTATGATAGGAATGTTTCATATTTGGCCCATTTAGTATTGGGCTTCCATATCAAAGAATAGTCCAAAACATATGGACTGATTACATTGACTTGGGCTTATTTGCAAGCCGAAGCCTTTTTTTTTTAATTTTTTTTTAAAAATGATTACTCTATTACAATTGGTAAGCCTTTTTACATCTAGTATTTTTGTTATGAAAATGAAGCTTATCTAGTATTAATATGCACAATATAAGTCGACCAATTGATTTGACGAGGGTTAGAGTTGTCCAAATGACTGTTACAAGAGAGCAAGTGAGTACAAGTGAATAGGTGAGTAGAAAATGATTCCTTAAGCATGCCAAAGAGGCCTATTCATGGTTAAAAAAAATCGCTAGGCGCTTTTAGGACATTCGTGTATTTTTTTATTTTTTAAATTAGTTTAAAACTTTTTTATTTTTAATTTTTTTTAAGACTTGATAATTATAAAGTATTTAATACTTTAATAGTTAATACTAAAATAGTAAATATTAACCTTAAAAACATCTCAGATTTGAAAGATTTAAGGTTATTTTGCACAAAACAACATCATTATTTTAGTTAAAATAACTCATTTTAAAAAAGTGAAAAATAGCTTACTGGCCAACTAGCTAGTCGGCCGCCTAGATCACTGATTATGGTGATACGTTAGGCAGCCGGCTGGCGTCTAGCTAGGCACGATTCTTGCAACAGTGGACTTATGTATACTAGAAGTCCTAAGCTAAGTAATGAGATAATAACCAATGACAAGTCAATGAGTCCATCAAGTGTTAGCTTCCAACATCCAACTACTCTGCAAGTATAATCATACCATAATCTATTACTCTAAACACTCAATAATTCCATATTGTTAAAATTGTTTTTTTCTAATCAAATGATGGACAATAAGATAAGCTTAAAATATGATCTGGCATACCTTTCTTTTCAACCAAGAGAAGAAACAACTAAATGATGGTGTGCATATGACAAATGCAGCAAAAATATTTGACCCAAAACCCTATCATTTTTCTTCTGAAAAGTGAAAAAGATAACGCTACCGTGAAACATCATATATTCCATATGAGAAATGTTGCAAGCTCATCAACAAAGAAAATAATAACAATAATGTACCAACCTAAAAGGCTAAAATTGGTTATTATATTGGTGTTAGGCGCCATGCACTTTTTCTTCCATGATATGCCTGCTAACGTGGTGCAATACTGTCTTTTAATACTCTCAAGAGAAACAAAGAATTAAGCAACATGGAAGAGTTATAATGATGAAAATGTAGAATTAATATTACAATGGATGCGAATCAGCTAGTGCGGGTCACCCATCTAAATTTTACTTGTTGAAAAACTTAGTTTAAAATAATATTTAAGTGATTATTTTGAGCGTGTTCATTTCCAATTTAGGTAAGGTCATAGTGGATTCAAGTTTTTCTAAGTGACAAGTTTAATTTGATATATTATATACTTAAAACGTATAATGGGTGATATGAATGAGAAATTGATACTCAAATTGTAACGATTGAGTTGGGAAAAATAAAGTGTTGAAATACTTCTAAGTAGTTTTAATCCTACATTGAATAATTCAACTTTTTAAGGATTTTAAAGAGTTTAAATTTTATAGCATGTAAACTTTCTGGCACATCTATCCATTATTGAAATAAGTCATAACTCAAATGCAAACCCAGAATAATTTTTTCTTTTTTTTTTTTTGGTCTTTAAATATATTTAAAAATAGTGACAATCAAGCTATATATATATACACACACACTAATCCCTTTTTTGTGGTATTCCTAATTCAAAACTTTGGAAGGGAATTTTCTTTGGGCGGTTGATAGGAGGGAAAAGTGAGATTGTGACCTTTTTGGATGGTCGGAAGGTCTATTATATTGTCAAATACTACCATTATGTATACACAATTTTTTGACACGTACATTTTAAGATAAGTCACCTTTTACATCAGAAAAATATTTCACGTGTGATTATACGTTATAATAAAAATGGTTTTATGTACAAGCATATACAAACTTGTTTTCCAATAATAATTGAGAGTACTGCAATTAATTATTGTTAATTATTATTAGAGTAAAAAGTTTTAAAATATTATGTATTTATGTTTATTAATTACGGAGTATATTTTTACGTAACAAAAAAAAAACCACAACAACTACTCAAAAGAGTATACATTAAGTAAATTTAATATCTATATAATAATTTACAAATCACACAAAAAGCTAAATCTTAATTATATTACTCTTGTATAGAAACATATTTCTCTCACCTTAAAAATTACCTCCATATTAATTATTATACTTATCCCACATCCTGACTCGACAAAGCATTTGGAAGGATGTAAATCATGGTGTTTAAATGACTCAACAGACATGACTAAATTCTAGCCCTACACTGCCGCCGCCGAGACTCGAACATTGATCTCTTATCCCAAATACTATCTACTGGACCATTGAGCTAAGCGCGTGCGGGCGGATTTTGTTATTGTTAGTTGGAAGTATGGATGATAGAAATTAAAGGCAAGTACTTGTCTATTGGAGGTGTGGTTTGTGAGCTATTACTTGGGAACGAAGTTTAACGAGTGACACTCTCAACTAGTAGTGGTTATAAGTTTTCATTGTCGACTAAAAATTAAATCTTAAAAAAAAAGTCGTCTAAGATGTCAATCAACATCGTGCCAATTGATACAAAATACAACGATCCATTCTTTCCAAAAGGTTGAATCCCCAACCCCAAGGGCCCCCCACACCCCGGTCCGACAGAACATCTAAGAGGATGTAAATCATGGTAACTCAACCGAACCATAGAAGCTAGACTTTTGCTTACTGCGCACAAGAAGCCTCCCTCACTTTGAGAGGTTACTCCCACACTGCCGCTGGTGAGACTCAATCCCTGATCATTCTTTCCAAACTTCACCCCTATGATCAGCTGAGCTGCCCATGCGAGCAAAAATACAATAATCCATCGTCATATGACTGGTTGCAGTGATACTATGGTGACAATGTTCCCACAATAAAATATCCAATATACCTCAAGTAGCAAGTAATGTTATATCCAGAACAATCTAAGATGTCAATCAACGCCTATAAACCATTATATTAAACATAATCACGTATATAATATATAGAATTGGTCAAATTTAGAATAAGGATATATACGAATCTTTTTCAAACCCAATTATTATATACTTGAACCCATTCAATCAGAGTGAAGATTAGCCAGGTACACAACTTTACCTGATTTGTTCCGTCGACATTCATAATGAGAAGGCAATATTATTCTAGAATTAGCAGTATTGACGTAGACGTGACGTTGAACTTACAAGCGTGGATTGCCGGTAGCCACAAGTGTGTGAGAGCATATAACGTTTGACTTGCTATATTGTACCGTACAATCGAACAGCTGTGAAATGTCCGATTAGTCCGTCGGCGGCCGATGTTCGGAAATCTCCTACTATACAGACAAATGTTTCGTAAGTAAATACGTAATTTAATTTTGACTGCGTATGGGATGAGAAGAAAATGGCCGAAAATCGGACATGTTATCCATGCTTGGAATATCATGCACGTCATGGATCATTCTCTTACAATATACTTTTTTTTTTTTTTTTTTTAATTCGAAATATTATATCATGGACCACATG